ATAAGCTCCTGTGAGTTAGCAAATATATTTTAAATCAGAATGAGTACAACTGACTAATTTGACGAAAGTGGAATATTTTCATTATTTCAATTTGATAGGAAGCCATGCAGAATTTCCCTATATTGTGGGGACACTGACAAATGTTTTTATTTCTAGAACTTATTTTTTGTAAAGTAAGATATATTCTCCACTGCCTCCTTCACCTTATTCTGCTTCCATTCTGTGATCTCCCCATAACATGCTAACTCTGGTTCAATTATTGAGCAGGTGACATGTCCCCAGGCCCTTGCTGGAATGCCAGCTGCCAGGTGTAGCCCAGACGGGCACTCCCTCCCTTTGTATAAACAGCGAATCTGAAATTAGTCAGACTTTAAGGCTTTATTCATCCAAGGAAGGTTAAATAAAATTTGCCCATGTGGGAATTCTAATAAAGGTTTCAAAATTATGAATTCTTTTGATTTGGCAAAACGAGATCGACCATCAATACTAGTAGTATCAAGGACATAAATTGAGGATCATCACCAGAAGGAAGGAAGGCCAGTTCAATAAAATAGTCGCACATTAACAACAACAAGATTTCATTTATAGAGCGCCTTTCATGTCAGGAGGACATCCCAAGGTGCTGGACAGTTGGGTCAGGACCCAAGCAGGGGGAAATGGTGAGGGGAGGGAAGGGAGGGAGTGAGGAGAGGGTAGGGTTTTCTTGGGAAGAATAGCCTATCATAAGTACTGTCCTGCCTCAGACAGCCCAGGTGAAATTAGAAATTTACCACATGGGAAATTTCAAACACACAAAAATGCAGTTTCTACAATTTTTTTTACCAGGCAAGACAAAGGGATCTATCCATCTTATACTAAACATAACCACATTCAGTTTACTTTTGTTTATGGTGGGGAGTCCCGTTATAAACAAGTAAGAAAAAGATTGCTATTTTTAGCGATTACAGCAAGTTAGACTCCAACATTGTGACTTTCAGTCTGAGCAATCAGGGGGAAGTCTGTGAGTTGAATCAGAGTAGTCATTCGAGTTCTGGAAATAAAAAAAGTGGGATTTAATCTGAAAACTCAAATCTGTGTTCGTTGTGTGTGTCTTTGATGAAGTAGATGGCGGAAGTAACAGTGGGAAACTCGGGCTAAGTGGGATTAAGTAGGTTATGTTATGTTTTGCTTTTAAATCTATCTTTTCTCTACTTCACTCCTCACACAGCATCCTCTTTATTCAAGGGCAGGAGATGTGGAAACAGACCATTGTAGATTGTCTTCTCAACCCATTCAATAAGAAGAACATGCAATAGACCTTGAGGGAGTCTGAGCTGTTCCTATTTTAATTTGTCAATTATAAAACTCAGATTTATAAATGCCCTTAGTTGAGTTAGCTGACCAGTTTTGGGCACCAGCAGAAACGTATTTTTTAGGTTTCTAAGGAACCAAAGGGCACTGCGATTCAGATTCAAAAAAGTTCCGAATCAGCTCTGAGTGTTCTGCTGATTAATTTGTAGCCAAGGTTATAAGAAAGCTTGGAATGAGAAATGCCAACATCCCCACTTCTTCCACAGACTGAGCCTAGACTTCATCCCATTGACTCTGTCTGCTGGGAGGGAAAGTATTGTACAGATGTACTCAGATCCCAAAAGTAACCAAGCAAAATCTCCGGAATATTCATGCCTCACATTTCCACTATTCAATCTTGGCAATAAACAACAGATTGCATTTATATTGCACCTTTCACGTCGGGAGGATGTACCAAGGTGCTCATATCCTGGCCAACAATCACCCAAATAAAATTGGTCATTCACTTCACAGCTGTATGTGGGACATTGCCGTGTGCAAAATTGGCTTCCCCATTCTTCCGCAAAACACAGTCACTGCTCTGTAAAGTATATCCAGTGAAGCTCTTTGGGATGTCCTCCTGATGTGACAGGCGCTATACCAGTTTAGTAAAAATGGTAGAACTTTTGTGTTTTGAAGGGTCCAAATAACATCCATACAAATATCACCACCTTGCATGGTTACATAAGACTAATGTCAAACAGACTTCACATGATAAATCTGCATGAAATTGATCTGGTTTACAGACAGATCATTTTTCAAGAGAACAATAAATATTCCTGGAAGATGGGAACAGACTGCTGAGGTTCAATAGCTGCATGGTGTTTTGCTCAACAGTGAAGCCACATTATGTCTTTCTGACACTTTGAAACTCAATACCAAAAAACTGCTCATGTTATGCACTGTGATGAAAAAGTGTCAGATTTTACAAACTGAATCCAATTGAATACCTCACATTGGACAACAACCTAAAATGATGTAATCCAATTGTTTTTTTCACCATCCCCCTCCAAACAATGTGTGTTTTCTAAAGAGATCAAATAAATATCTATTCATCTCACCAGTGCTTAATGTCTCTCACAATGCCCAGCATTTAAGTTGCGTGTCACTTAGGACTGTTCGCATAATATATTACAAGCCCTGGCATCCTCATGCATAAAATATTGGTTTGTTTATTTGCATCCTTACAACTTAAGTACATTGTCAGCAGGGCAGTATATTCCGCAGTTGTTAAAAATGCTTTGAAAAACCTTGTAAAGCCCTGAAATTTTATGTTGTCACTGGGCTCCTCTGTTCCATTCAGCACCTCTGGCTTTAATTTGTGAACGAGTCGCTGAATGTTTGTACCTGGAAACTTGTGTTTTGCCAACCCAGGATTTACAATCTCGAGCTGCAGTTTTACAATTCCTCAAGGCCCACACCAGCCTACCTCCCAGGCTGAAGAAAGACGCTCGTGAGGCAATTTATGTTTCCTTATTGTTCATTGGTAATCAACCTAACCTGGGAGTGATTTGATTTTAATATCAGTTAGTTGAATTTAATGACTTGATTGAAAAGGTTCTGTGGAGCTAACAGGATGTGGGCACAGTAAGGTTCCATTAGTGGTATTGGTTCATTTCTTAATGTGCACAGGGCCCTCTGTAAACTTGGCCTGCTTTATGACAAGTGCCATTAGTCTAAACAGCCTTACTCTTGGACTCACTGCCTGATGAGAGCACTGATAAGAAAAACAAATGCTGATATCCCTCGTGAGGATTGAAACGTCTTCGAGCTTTATTCTTTAGCTGCTAATGCAGGGGAAGGGGAGAAGGGGGTTTGTTGAAAAAAACATGTGCTGCTATAAAATCCCTTTAAATTGTACATTCAAAGAATCCCACATTCCTTGTGATGCTGTATTACAGAAAGCACTTTAATTGGGCACCTCTGTGCCTTTGGAGAGTAAGATTCCTTTCTTTGTACGCATCATTAGGTTCAGTCAACCTGGCTGCTTAAAAGCAATGGAGAATGCTAATACAGCTCATTCCTGTTAAGTCAGAAAATATTCACTTAGCAGAGCATAGTGGTGAAATACATGTAAAAATATTCTTTAGCATAATTTTAGATTTTTTTAAGATTATTAAAGGAATTTGTTACAATATTTTTTATAGTATTTTGTTCAATTGCATTATTCAGCTCTAAATTAGAAGGCTATGGGTTCAAGCCTAAAATTGGGACTTTGAGCTCAAAGTTTAGGCTGACTCTCCAATGTACTGCGGGGGGACAGCTGCATTGAATGCAAGAATTATTAATATTATTGAAGGACAGGTGCTGTCTTTCAGAAGAATCATTAAACTGGGGCTCCATCTGTCTATTCAGGTAGACATTCAAGATCCCATGGGGCTAGTCAAAGAGAAGGGAGTTTCCCCCAATGTACTGAACAACAGTCCTCCAGATAAAAATGATCATTCACTTTGTTACTATTTGTGGGATATTGCTATATGCTAATTAACTGCCACTTTGGCTTACAAAATACATAGTGAATTTTCTGCATCCTGTGAAGTGTTTGAGATATTTTGATGCTGTGATAAGGCACCATATCAAATGCAAACTTTTTTTTACTACTTCTAACTTGTGCAAGGTTTTGAAGCCACTCGGTTTGCAAAAGGTCTGATGGCTCTGTTTCCCACTGAACGTTAACAACTCTGTTCCAAGGAGAGAGCACCCTTTGGTTATTAATTGACATAAATCAAATGAGGGGAGATGCCTGATTTATCAGAATTTCCAAATGCAGAACAATTATTAATTTCTTCATAAGTACGTGTAACTGTTGAAATAGCGTGATCAATTATTGCAGGGCTCATTTTGTGGTTTGAATTTTTTTAAAATTGTGTTCTAATAATTTGTGGACAAAAGCCCTTGGCTGTGTTAATGGTATTGTAAGCAGAATGGGACATTCCAGAGTTGTGTCGTCGCCAATGTCCTGTGTGACCCTGACCTCTCTGGGTCTGAAGTGGTCATTCGGAAGTAACCACTTCTTCCCTCCCCTCACATCTGTGTTGTGTCGCATCCCATTTCAGATCTTTCTGACGGCGAGCTAATATGAAATGATTGTGCACCTCCATCTGGTTATATGTTTAAGTAATTTGTCCCATTCTGACAGAGGTCACTGTTCTGTTAATCCTGCCCTCATAACTCAAGATTTTAAAAGATTTGCACAGACCATCAGAGGGGGCTGGTACTGTATGTTGACTGCAGCACGCAGGAGTTAGACTTGAGATGTTCATGAACATAGAAATTTTTAGAAATATAGAATTTTCAGCACGGAAGGCCTTTCCGCCCATTGTGTCTGTGCTACATCTTTATTACAGTTTTAGATGCAATCCCAGGCTTGTTTTCCCTTTGTCCTGCTCACACTTTGGTCCAATGTTTGGAGTGCGTGTGCTGCATTGTCAACATAAGCTGCATTGAGTTTCTCCCAGTTCCCTGGCCACCAAACCTCAGATAAAAATTGTCAACCAATTAAATAAAGTATTACACGCAATTCTGTAATGTTTTCATAAGTTAGTTACGTAATTTAGGGTACCTATATCCATTTGAACTATTAACCCAACTTGTGTTTTAGATGCCAGTATTATACAATAAAACATTCACTTGCTAAGTAATGTTTATGTTATCATTGGTTTTTTTTACAGGTAACTGTACAATCGGGCCGGCACCCCACTGTCCTTCAGAAACTCTGCCAGTTACCGTTTCAGTACTTCAGTGACCAGCGTTTGATCAAGGTCCTCTTCCCAGCACTGATCACAGCTTGTTACAACAATCCCCAAAACAAGGTCATCTTAGAGCAGGAGATGAGCTCCATCCTGCTGGCCTCCTTCATCCAGGTATACCTCCATGTCACACGTCTAACACCTTATCAAGCATCTGAGGACATTACTGTGCATTCTAACTCACAAGAGCATCACAGCAAAGCTTCCGGTGCAAGGCAGACAAATGCAGGCCTGTATAGAAAGTTAGAGGAAATGCTTTCAGCTAGAGGATAACTAATATGGAATGCTTTGTCACATACCAGTGTTGAAGCACAGTATATGAATTATTTTAAAAGTGTACTGATAGACGCTTGAAAAAGAGTAATACTAACAGGTGGATGCCGTGACCAGGAGAGTGGGATTACACCTGATGGGCAAATTGCCTGTTTCTGTGCTAAACAGTCTGTAAGTGGCTACCAAAGGTTAGATCATAACAATATTTAAAAGAGAATTAGATAAATATTTAAAGAGGAAGAATAGGGGAGCTGGACTTGATGAGCCAAATGATCGCCTTCTCTACTGTAATTTCTATTATACTATGATTTGTATCTATTAGGGAAGAATAGCGATGCTATTTAATAACCTGCACTTGCATAGCATCTTTGACTAGAGAAGAAAAGGTGGCAAATTTAAGGGTGTTATCCAAACACCTGTCAAAGAGATGCATTTTAAGGATTTTTGAACGCAGAGAGAAGAGCATGGCAAGATAATTGGGAGGATTCCAAAGAATAGGGACATAGTGTCCATGGTACAATCGAGGGAATGAGCAGTGGACCTGAATAGAAGATAGAGAATATAGGTGGGAGAATAGGGCGAGAAGGTTTATGGTCAGCCAACAAAATCCATTTTCTTGATTGAATATTTCTTGATTTATGCCATAAATCAAGAAATACTTAATCAAGAAAAAAGCGAAAAACACTCCACCGATCGAACACGGACTGATCGAGACTCGTTTGAATGTTTGGGGTGGGACGGGGGGTGGGGGTGTTGCTTCTTGACGGTCCTCTGTGCCACAGGTTGGAAATTGCACAGTTAGAGTGGGACAAAATCGTAAAGGCACTTGAGGATCTTTAAATCGATTTCAGGCAATATTTTATTCAAATTTATATAGTCTTTAGAATGCCAATCACTGTGGATAACGTGTGACCCTGCTCATGATCACTGTCAATTCCTTTGTCCAGATTTAAGGTTTGACAGCTGTAGTAGCCACGATTAGAGTTGATAGTTTTTAATCCATGATCGATTCTCAGCGTCATTTACACAGGAGGCACTAGAGAGATTTTATTCATCTGACTTTCATCAGTTTAAGTTGAACAGAACTAAGTCATGTTAAGCACTAATTTTTTTATCATTTTGATGATGATTATTATTGATCATGAGGAGTGCTGATATATAGCCTGACCACAATTTCATTGCAGTTTATTGATGTTTCTATCATTGGTCTCAAGTATGTTCTTGTCTCTGTTGGGTTTGTCAATGGAGTTTGTTTGAGGTGGTTGTGTGTCACTTTGGTCTACACCATTTAGTGGATCTAATAATGTGCAGTTAAAGCTTTTCGGAAGAAGATACGGGAGGAATAATCACCCAGAGCTCCCTTTACCTGCTCACTTCACAGCGACTCCTGCTCCAATTCACATGGGGTTAACTTGATTGAGGAGAGAAATGTGCTCAGCTATAATGCCCCCATTATTGAATAGAGACATTTGAATAGTGGCTTATAAATCATAGAAGGCCACAGCCCCGAAATACGACCTAGTCTTAGTTTGTCAAATCTTTTTGTCTTAACAACTACTACTTGTATTTATATAACGCCCTTCATGCGGGGCAGTGTTGGAGTACTTAACATTTTTGATAGCAGAAAATTGTGGTTAAAAAAAATTAAGTCTTACTTTGGAAGCAATTTTTATGCATTTCTTTAAAAAAAAGCTTCCAATATAAGACTGAATTTATGCAGGGTTTTCCTTTAGAAGCCCTGGTGTGAAGTTTTCAGAAGTCATATCTTCAAACGAAGGACATTTATGCCAACTGATTTCAATCCTGTTACCTGCACCCATGCACCCATGAACATTCACTGGCCTGGTAATGTAATAAACAGGAAAAATGTGACAAGATAATTAAATGCTGTTTTTTTTAACATTTTCTACATAGGATTTTGCACAGAGCTCCAGCCAGCCTGAAAATAAGTCTTCACAACGGAAAGGTAAGTATCACAGATCAGTGTTGCTTCCAAATTTCAGGGCAGCTGCATTAGAAAATCGAGGTCTACTGAGAGCATGGCTTTTCTTGCTGAGAAGCGACTCACTTCCAGCTTGTCAGGTTGCCACTATCGTCTCATTACAGGAATGAAGTGACATCGATGACAACCTGGAAGTTTGCCAGTTTTTCGCTGTTTGTCATAATGCAGCTTCCTGAGATATTAAACCCAGATTCCCACTGCACTATGTACATACAGCTTAATAATTCTCTGTATCCAACCACTCCTGAACTCGCTGTCTCATTTCTGCTCCCATTTCAGAAAAAATTCCTCGTGCTCTGGACTATCTGGAATTCTCGAATAGGTTTCCTCGTGAGATGTGGGATGATGCTCGGACATTTTTCTTGAAAAAAGAAAAGAACTGAAACACAAACAGGAAGATGTACTCAACATGCCACACACACAAAAACAAACATGCAAACACACACACACACACACACACAATATTTTGGTTTATAGGTCAGCCAGTAATGCAACCACTAACATTATGTTCAGATAGTTCTTTCTATGATTTGCACAAATTGTATATATTTCCTGATGTACATACGGTCTTAATTTTAATCACTTTTTGACATTTCTTTTCAATGTGAACCTTTCAACTGTACATGCACAAATATGAGTTTAGTTCTTCTAGTTTCTTTTCCAAGTTGTACAGCAGTCACCAGCACTGTGGAGTGTGTCAATTAATTTTTATTTATTAGAAGTATCTTTGTAGCCCCAATAAGCTAACGCAATAAAATTATTTATTTTCATTTTCATTGATTCGAAGTAGTGAATATACTGTTCAGTGAAATAATAATAGCTGTAACAACAAGAAATTGGAGGGGGGATGGGAGGTTCAGATTATATACATTTACAAGAGTGAGGGTGAAGCAGTTTGATATTGAAACCTGGAGGCAGCAGAACAGTAGATGTGTGGAGACATCCTGCAAAAAAGATTACATTAACAGTTTAGTCACTGTGCAGTACTGAGATAATCCTGCTCCATTTAGTACAAATGTTTAATACATTTTATTGATACCTTTTGGATTTTTTGAAAAAAAAGGAATTATCACTTTGAATAGATTGATAATTTAATGAAACTTTATTAAAGCTGCACTCTAACCAAATTGGCTTTCAACCTGAGTGATTTTACTTTAGAATTTAAAGTTGCACCAACTTTAACTATTGCATTTCATTGGTGAACTTTCTGCTGCTGTCCTGAACCACTCTACCCTCTGAAGTAAAGGTTTGCAGCAAAATTTTCACACGATCACAAGATTGGTTCAGATGAAGAAGACCCTTCAACCCATTTGATCATGCCCTTCCAGAAAAATCACACTATTGTCTTACCGTCACTGTTTTTTAAATGAGTCCCATGTCCTGGTTGTAACAATTCCTACCTAGTCACTTGTTAATTACCTTCTAGGTAAACAAATACTTCCTGGTGTCTGTCCTGCAATTGCCCTTTGCAGCTCTACTTCGGTGTCCTCATGTTCCACTGAATCGATGTATACTGCACCTGAAAATAATGTTCTGAGTTTACGTTTTCAATCCCATTTCAAATTTAATATACCTCTTGAGACATCTTTCAAGATTGAAGATGCCCAGCTTGGCCTGATTGTTGCTCATAACCACAATAGAAAAGTGCGGAAATATTTGCCTAAAATTGCGGGGAAATTGCAGAGGGTTGATTGGTGTTATTGAAGTACATTTTATTGCCAACCTACATACTTTCACTTTATTGATAAAAACTAAACATGAGGAATAACACATATTAGATTGTTGCAAAACATTTTCATTAATTTCTTCTTTAACAAAAACTGGGTGGTCCATTTTGGGGTGAGAGAGGAGGGGTGGGGGGGACCACTAGCGCAGGCCCTAAGGGCCTGGAGATCTACCATAAAACAGACACTCAAGACTAGTGTTCTGAATGACTCTCAGGGTCCAGCACTGCACAGAGACAGAGATCTAGAGAGAGAGACACACACACTCAAGAGACACATAGAGACATACACTCACAGATACAGACACATTCTCAGAGAAATACACACACACACAAAGAGACATACACACAGGCAGGAAAGACACCAATATACATTCACACCGACACTCATAAACAGACACACACATGTAGAAGACAGACACACTCACAAACAAACACATACATACAAAGGAGAGACAGAACCGCTCACACAGAGACACTCAAAAACATACATACAAACAGAGGAGAGAGATCTGCAATAATCACTCACAAACACAGAGAGAGAGATATAGACGCACACACATACGGACAATCACAATAGTGGGGACTCCAAATGGAGTGAAGCCTATCTCCCACTTGCACCTCACCGCATATCTGGAGCCACCCCACTCACCGTGATGGTGGGTGAACAGCCAGCAGAGACCCGGAGCCAGAAACGTTATTTTTAGCAGTTTTATAGCCGAGGGCGCTGTTTATGGCGGATTTCACTGAACAATTGCAGCCCCACTCTTCTATTGGCCCAGGTCATAGCTCATCCTGGGTCAGTTGGTAGTACTTACACTTCTGAGTCAGAAACCTACAGGTCAGAGACACCAAGACTTTGAACTTATAATGTTGGGGGAACGCTGCATTGTCAGAGATGCCGTCCTTCGGATGAGAAGTTAAAATGAAGTCTAGTCTACCTTTTCAGGTGGATGTCAAAGATCCCATGGTAGAACTCAAAAAGAGAAAGGAGTTTTTCTTGGTATCTTGACTGACAATGCCCCAGATAATGCTGGTCATTCACGTTATGGCTATTTTTCTTGGACTTTGCTCTTTGCAAATTGGTTGTTCTGTTTGCCTACAAATACACAGTTACTACACTTAACAGTAAAATATTGTAAAGCACTTTGAGACATCTCGATGACGTAATGATGATAATCCTTGCATTTGATTAGAGCACATATTAAGATGTCCCAAAGAGATATAAATCATTATATCAAATACAAGGGTTATTGTTGTTATTCCTCCAAACCTGGGGTTTATCCCCACTGTACTCGTCTGCTTTGCCTCTCGGGCTTGGGTAACCCCCTTAAGTGTTGGGGACCACAAGCGTATGCAGGACTCTAGGAGCGACCTGACCAAAGCACTGTGTATCTTGAGTGTAGCTTCTGAGGATCTGAACTCAACTGGTTTTACTTTATTTACATTTTCTGCAGAATAAGCTGTTTGCACACTGGGATAAATACTGGTTCTGGCTATTTACTAGCGATTGGAAAAAGAGAGAAAAGGAAAACGTGGATCAGAGATGAATATGATTTATTTTGTGGAATTTTGAGCCTATCGCCTCCTCTGGGTCCTACTGCCGAGTAGAGTATTTCAAATATGTCGGGATTAACTAACCCAAGTGAACTGCTAATACTTTGGAGGAAGGCGAAAACTACAGTAAAACCCAGACTAAACAAGAGTTCGAGTTAAATACCTGTGTGAAATTCCATTTATTAATTTACTCATCTATCAATTGACGAGCTATTCACAGAATTTGTTTCAGAAATTCAATAGAAGATGGTTAAACGCTGTATAATAGGTCTTTTATAGTGAAACTGAAACTTCTGTAAATTCCGAAAATTCAGAAACTAGGGATTGAAAGCAAATTGCCACTGGCTGACGAATTAAAAGTGTGAAAAAACGAGGAGAGCTTATTAGCGAATAGAAATCGTGTTAACTTCACTAAGAACAATACTAGGATATAATTTCCTGCGGGTTTGTGAAGCTGGGACCTCGATACAAATGGACCTTAAAAACAAGAATCCAGGGACCAATATATTGTGAGAAAGAAGACTTGGATGGCAGAAAATCTGTACCAGGAAAACCAGCCAAAGTTTAACAGGAACGAAAGCTCTTTGATTTGCTGTTTATTGTAAGGTGGGTGTGATTTTCATTGAATTATTTATTGGTTATATCATATTACAAAACGCCGAGCTGAGATTAAACATGGGCAAGTTAAGAGAGGCCTGAAATGATACTTTGGAGAGGCGTGGATTTCAATGGAATTTTTTTTAATTGCTTTATTAAACTATTCTTCCCTGTGTCGGTTTGTAGGGTTTGCATAAATTGAGTAACGTATTGGGATCTGGAAATAAAACAATAAGTGAAACGTCTGGTTTTAATAAAACAATCAAACGTATGTAAGTTAAAACTAGTTACAATGATAAAACCCGTGACGACCCGCCTTTTTTTAAAATATAAGGGCGCGATTCTTTCTTCAACTAATAAAATACTTTAATTATATTGAATCGGACACGATTCCAGTTCCAAATGTTCGGGAATACCTGTTCACTCAGCGCCACTCCTGCAGCAGAATGCAGTTACTTAACTGGATTATAAAGAAAGTCCCATCGTGTACTGGTGTGAAGGGGGAACCCAGACTGGAGTTTATCCATGACATGTTAGTTCACGTCAAATCTGTAGGGAAATGTCGCATTTTCCGTCCAATAGGTTATTAAGTGAAACATGTATAAGTTTGTGAATACAAAGTCTGTGCACACAGCATAGTGGGCAAATAGTTCGTCCATAGCTTTGATTTGGTTCTTCAATTCTTACCTTTTGACTTGAGAAAGGTGTTGCAATTTGAGCTGTGGTCAATTTTTTTTTGAAAAATAAGACACATATGAAAGTGCCAAATTTCCCCGAAACATGTGATGATGTGGCCACTCATTCATTCATAATTTAAACCGAACGGTCCACAACATGTGGGGGGGGGGCGAAAGGTTTTTTTTTATTTTTTAAAAATGTTTGTGACCTTAAAGGGCTGTATTTAAGAATTTGCCAAAAGGTTTCCATCAATTAGAGCCAATCGGATCTGCGCGTAAAAGGACAATCGCTGTAAGAATTTGATATTGTTTACGCAGGTCCGTTCCACAAAATATAAACTTTTACGGAAATAACAGATCAAATGATAGTCTTCATCGTTGGCCTTTTTATTTTCTCTCTTCTTGCTCTCTCCACCCACACCACTCACTTAATTGAAGAATAAATTGTAAACGCGCCACAGCTTTAAGACATCAAGTTAGCTCATCAAAAANTAGCATTAAGGACAAATTACAAGAATAAAATTCGAATTATATAAACCATTGCATGGCCAGGCTGAATCGTTTACTATCACAATTACATTTGGAGAAATGTTTGTCTGGCTTGGATGAAAACCAATGGGTGATAAAATGTTGCTAAACATCAGTCTTATTGTAGTGTAGAGTATCACATCTACGGGGAGAAATTCCACCTGGGTTTAGCTTTACTTTATTTATGTAACATCTCGTAGTGCAGAATTTGCCAATTTTTTTTAGATGCAAGCTGGTCTCTGTAAGCTCTTTAAGGACCGTAGATAACCGACTTCAAAGTTGAGACTAAATTCAACAGTTTGCCGAGTTCCAGAGGCTTTGCAATGTAATATAAATAGAATAAATCGGGTCCCAGGTGGGACATCTCCGGGCAATGAGTTGGAAGGCGAGTTATCTGGGTCTTGAGAGAGTGCTGTGATAACAAGCGTGTGGGGGGCCACGATACTACACACGTGCAAACACGGGCTAACCCGCCTGTGGGTGATTGGACTGAAATTTACGTAATGCAAACAGTTGCTGGTCCCCACATTGCATACACACCCGGGTGTGTATATATCACCATCTCGCTGATATTCTCACAAGAGAGCAATTGCCGGTGATGCCAATTCGCCAACTGTGTTTCACTGTGTCCATTCTTTCCGCACAACCTGTTTTTTTTGGCTTAAGCTATTTCCTTTTATTCCTGGGTCCATCG